CATAATCCTGCTCCCCCCCCCCTCCTCTTCCCACCTCCCTTCTGGCTCCCTTCACACTACCCTATTCCCTCCCTGACCTACCCATTTTCACCCTACCTTTAGCCAGCGTCTTATACTTATACTGGTGTTTTGCAGATTTAGTTCGATTGCAACTAAATCACTTGAAAGAGAGTTATATTTCAGATTAAGAGTAGGTTTTAAGTGTTTAGCTCATTTTATTATTAAGATAATATTGTTTATTTGCTTTAGATAATATTTATGCAGAAGTGTGTTTGTTTGTTTGTGTGTTTGTTGTGTGTGTGTGTGTGTGTGTGTGTGTGTGTGTGTGTGTGTGTGTGTGTGTGTGTGTGTGTGTGTGTGTGTGTGTGTGTGTGTGTGTGTGTGCGTGCAGTCATGTAGCCTGTATGTGTGCAAGACAAGTGTGTGTGTGTGTTTATGCAAGGGATTAACATCTAATCTCCCTTTTCGTAGACTCTGAAATGGTTTATATGTCTATAGTGCCTATTATCTCTCTCTCTCTCTCTCTCTCTCTCTCTCTCTCTCTCTCTCTCTCTCTCTCTCTCTCTCTCTCTCTCTCTCTCTCTCTCCCTCTCTCTCTCTCTCTACCTCTCTTTCTCAAATCTTTCTCTCAAACTAAGTGCCTATTATCTTTCTCTTTCTCTCTCTCTCTCTCTCTAACTCTCTCTCTCTCTCTCTCTCTCTCTCTCTCTCTCTCTCTCTCTCTCTCTCTCTTTCTCTCTCTCTTAAACCTCTCTCTCACCCTCCCACCTTCCCTCACTCGCACCATCCCAATCCTCCCCCCTCCCTCCCTTCCTCCCTTCTTCCCCCCTCCCTCCCTCCCTCCCTCTCTGCCTCCCCTTCCCCTAACACCAAGTGTCCACGCGAGTGTTTGTCCAGCTCATTACCCTTACAACAGACTCCCCCCCCCCACCCCCCGAAACACAAAATACTGGTGACCGCTCCATCCGTAATGAGATTAGTTGAATATGCAAATTAGGTTGAGGGATGGCGAGGTGTTTGCCATTTATTTGTTATTAGTATTAGTAGGGTTGATTATTCTCCCCTCCCCCCCTCCCCCCCTTCATCGCCTCTCCCCGGGATGTTTACAAAATGCGTGTGGTGATTGTTTACAGAAAGTGGTGGTGATGATAGTGGTGATGGTGATGATGATGATGGTGATTTTTTTGAAGGGGAAATTATGAATATCCTGAATAGATTTGATGTCACTGAATCTAAATAAATTTGATTTTCTCTCCCCTCCTTTCCCCCGTCCTTAATTTATGAAGATGTAGGGTGAGGACTGTGATAATATTTTGGTACCGGGAAAGAGGTGCACACACGCGCGCGCGCACACACACACGCGCACACACACACACACACACACACACACACACACACACACACACACACACACACACACACACACACACACACACGCACACACGCACACACACACACACACACACACACACACACACACACATACACACACACACACAAACACACACACACACACACACACACACACACACACACACACACACACACACACACACACACACACACACACACACACACACACACACACATCCCTCCCCTCCATGCCCCTACACCCCCCCCCCCCTTCATCCAACACCCAAACGGAACACTTTCAAGAAACAACACCTATTCCCTCTGCAACGCCCACATGGAAACCCTTTCACGAAACACCTTTTCCCTCTGCAACACCTGCACGGAAACCCTTTCAACAAACCAACACCTCTTCCCTCTCTCTGCAACACCTGCACGGAAAACCCTTTCAACAAACCAACACCTCTTCCTTCTCTCTGCAACACCTGCACGGAAACCACTCCACTACTTACTGCTCTGACACGTGTCGCCCGTCCAGCCCGGAGCGCACGTGCACTGGAATCCTCCGTTGACCTCCCTGCACGTGCCGCCGTTGTGACAGGGACCTGGGGCACAGGGGTCCTCCACCACCTGGGGGGGAGAGGGCGGACGAGGTCAAGTGAGGTCAGCTGGGGTCAAATGGGATAATAGATAAATAGATAGTTAACTAGGAAACGTGAATAAATGTATCCAAATGGGTTGATAGATAAATTGATGGTTAACTAGGAAACGTGAATAAATAAGGAAAATAAAAATATATCTTATCAAGCACACAAATACATTATACCAAAACAAACAATCAAACAACAAAAACAAGTAAAACACACACAAAACAAATTAAAAAAACAAAAACAAAACAAACCGAAACACAAAAAAATAAAATTGATAATAAAAAAAGAGATGAAGACCCAAACACACCAAAATACAACAACAAATCAATAACTAACAAACAAATAAATAACAATATAACAAACAATTAAAAACAACAACAACCTTACCTCACAGTTAAGCCCCGAAAACCCTTCCGGACACGTGCAGCGGTACTGGTCGGGTGCCGTGTTCTCACAAGTGCCGCCGTTGTGGCACGGGTAGCGGCCGCAGTAGTTCAGGT